CGCCGCTTTTGCTGTATTTAATTACAAACAAGCAAACAAACAATCTCAGAGTTTTAGTAGTATATAGATAGCAGGAATAGTATACATTAAGTATCGAAGTTTAATGTACACAAATATATGTCCACCACAACAAAGGTAGCATGGATTAAGGATGTTACTACAGATTTACGTCCACCACAACAAAGGTAGCATGGATTAAGGATGTTACTACAGATTTACGTCCACCACAACAAAGGTAGCATGGATTAAGGATGTTACTACAGATTTACGTCCACCACAACAAAGGTAGCATGGATTAAGGATGTTACTACAGATTTACGTCCACCACAACAAAGGTAGCATGGATTAAAGATGTTACTACAGATTTACGTCCACCACAACAAAGGTAGCATGGACTAAAGATGTTACTACAGATTTACGTTCACCACAATAAAGGTAGCATGGATTAAGGATGTTACTACAGATTTACGCCCACCACAACAAAGGTAGCATGGATTAAAGATGTTACTACAGATTTACGTTCACCACAACAAAGGTAGCATGGATTAAGGATGTTACTACAGATTTACGTCCACCATAACAAAGATAGCATGGATTAAAGATGTTACTACAGATTTACGTCCACCACAACAAAGGTAGCATGGATTAAGGATGTTACTACAGATTTACGTACACCACAACAAAGGTAGCATGGATTAAGGGTGTTGCTACAGATTAAGTTCCGTTGGCCTTATTGTGCGGAAAGGACTATGCAATACATCGAAGATAGTGCGCATAATACTGTCTCTCAGATAATAATTCTACCGCAAGGATTAGCTTAATGGACCAGTATTGAAATAAATGTAAAACTCCTTTATAGAGAGGCCGGGCGTGACCTAGCGGTTAGCTTGCCGAACTATGAACGTGAGAGCCCATAGTTCGCGTCCAGTTGCCGCAAAATGACGCTCCGCACTTTAAAGCCATAGGTGCGTTATAAGAGTCATAATCAAGTCTCACTATTTGACTAGAGTATCCAAGAGTTGGCAATGGGTTCTGATAACTTTCCCCATAGTTTACAACTTAAGATTAAGGACGTCTAGCGCAGATGGACCTTTTATAGCTTTGCGCAAATATCCGAAAGAAACAAAACTTCGGAGCGACAATAATTCTAAATATTCAATGAGTTTGTAAACTGATTACGATCTATTTAGAAGGCAGATTGCTCATAATTTTATTGAAAATTTCGTATATTTTTAGCTTTTACAAAACAGCCCATTTCAAGAAGGGAACAAACTGATTGGATGATAAATAAAATTAACGAGCGGAAACCTTTAGAAGTACTTATGTTAATTAACATTAACATCATTTAACAGTTTAATATGAGCAAGTATTTCGAGATTTTGAACCAAAATCTTATACCACAGAAATATTATTTTAGATTTTGAAAAAAGATGCCTTTTGTCGCATGTAGGCCTGACGCAACAATATTTGATTGACTTTTTTTCATAGAAACTTTGCTAAAAATGACTATATTAATACATTACCTGTTTATATACTTAAAATGTATAGAAATTATTATGAATTACAATACATAATAAATAGTAAACGAACCCGCAAAATGATTCCAATACCAACAAAGAGAATGTTAATAACGGTACACACCAGTATATAATGTGCACGAAGTCATATCTGATGTATATAGAGGTATGATTAGTGGTAAAAAGCAAACGTATGTTGTTCTGACTTCATTTCTAGTTTTTATGCACCAAAGTCCATTGGAGCTGCCCCCCCCCCCAGTTGCACGGCGGTATGTCTGCGGACTTACAACGCTAGAAACCGGGTTTCGATACTCGTGATTGGCAGAGCACAGATAACCCTTGTGTAGCTTTGTGCATAATTAAAAACAAACAAACCATTGGAGCTACATCGAAAAACCTGAGAAATATGTGCATACTTTTAATTCCAGTTTCCTAGGCCATAAATTATCATGAAAATAGCCGTTGAATAAGAGGTGTAAATGGAAATTCAGAGCTTTTAGCTTGTGAGTCTTCGTCAACTTTAAATTCTTGTTTATTATCTTACATATGATACCAGAAAGATACACCCACTTCATTGAAGTTCTTATTTTTATACGTGGGTGGGTAGGGGGTAGGTGGGTCTTCATTCGTAACCACAGCATTCACTTTATGGGTAAAGGAATTATTCCGAATTGGTTAGGGATTGATTTCGGAGAATAATGCTGTCTTTGCTGTGTGAGTTTTTCTGCTTCGAGGGAGGACACGTCCCTCTTCGAATACTTCTATCCGTTGGCTCTACATATGCGAATATCCTTTCTCAGGAAATATGTAACACATTTCTCTAACTATAAGCTTATTTTTGGCGGCATTACACTCTCCAGTAGTTGGGAATTTGTTCTGAACCAAAAATATAGCTACTAAACAAAGTATCCTTAACGCTACGACACAAACTTTTAGCAGCATGATGCTACATTAGCATATGGAAACCATTTTTATAACGTGCGATCAAGTCTCTACTAGTTTTAAGTATTAGTTACAAAAAAGATTACACTTCTTACTGTGGCAGGCCCGGCATGGCCTGGTGATTAGGACGCTCGACTCGCAATCTGCGGGTCGCGTGTTCGAATCCTCGTCCCACCAAACATGCTCGCCCTTTCAGCCGTGGGGGCGTTATAATGTGACGGTCAATCCTACTATTCGTTGGTAAAAGAGTAGCTCAAGAGTTGGCGGTGGGTGGTTATGACTAGCTGCCTCCCCTCTAGTCTTATACTGCTAAATTAGAGACGGCTAGCGCAGATAGCCCTCGTGTAGCTTTGCGCGAAATTCATAACAAACAATCTTACTTCGGTGATGAAAGAATTTGCATAAATGATCACAAAAAAAGGTCTTTAAAATACCTGATCCTTCACGTTAGGGTTAATTATCTCAGACTTAATTCAAAGTATGACAATGACTGTTTCCACGAGTTACAAACTTTACTTTTTCATAGTTTCACTCACCATAATGAAATTCTCATCTATCTCTATAGTTTCAACCATCGCGATTTCAACAAACGTACCGATCTCGCCGTAGCACCACAAGACTGTATCATTGACTCTTTAAAACACAAGACTGACAACCTTAACGTTCTTATCGACAACCAACGCTCAGCTTTCCTTTAAAACACTAACTTCACACTTGAGACAAGGAAACGATTCTTAGCAAGGGATGTCTAAACCAAGGAATCTGTAGCGTTCACTTTTTTATTAACTTGCTTGCAGTTAAATATGATACAATCCAACTTAAAGTCCTCACTTTCAGCCTTTCCTCCACCTCTTCTGTTACACAGTTCTTAACTCAGAATCATATTTCTTCCAGCATCCCAACCGAAATAATCTATACTTTGTTGCCAAGAACATTGTTGTTACAAATTCTAAACACGCAGTTTCTCCTACTGAACAACAAGAAAATCACGTAAAAATATAAAATCAACACACAACCAATATTCTATTCATCACAGAAATGAAAAACGTCTATCGAGACTTCTTTTTTAAGGTAGATACTATTAGAAAAATCCATCTTGTTTATACAAACCCTCACAATCAGTGGGAAATTGAGCAAACTTATAACAAACATTCCATTTCTGATCGACTCAATTCAGTTATTTCCGTGTCCAAGCAACCACAATCTGAAAACACTTCCAACCTCGTCAACTTGCCCTTCATAACATAATCTGAAACTGAAATTAACCTCTTTGGTCAAGGTTTCAACTTGTTTCCGATCCATAACAGTATAGATAACTTCAAAATGAATTCCAACTTACGAGAA